GCGAGTCGTGACCCACCAGCCTCGAACCTATCCCTATCCCTGAGATCGGCACGCCAAGAGGCGATGACAATCTTAGGGATCCGCCTCCGAAAAAAGAATGGGAGCCCCTAAGATCGGCATCGTGGTGAGGAGATGCCCAGCATAGGGACAGGGATATGCTCCAGGCTGGTAAGTGATCACGTGAGCAGGGGTGGTCAGGGCGGGGGCGGGCACGGGCGTCCAAGCGATTCATGAAAGAACGAGCCCCTTTTCCAGACCCCGGACGTCATGCTTGGGAAGGCCTGGCGGCCGCCGCCGCCGACCCTGAAGGGGGGACGGCGACGACGTTGGCGGCGGCGGCGGCGACGACGACGCTGACGTTCTGGAGCCTCTCCTGGGGCCTCTTAAGGGAGCCTCTCTTGGGCTCCGTGTGGGCTTGGGCCGGGGCCGCGGCTGGGCCCCTGGGCCCTGGGGCCGAGGCCGAGGCTGGGGCCACGGCCGGGGCTGGGGCCGGGAGCCGTGCCAGTGGCCAGGGCCGGGGCCTGGGCGCCATGAGCCGGGACTCGGGCTGCGGCCCTCCTATATGGGCTGGGCCGTGTCTCTGGGTCCGGGGCTGGGGCGCGCGGAGGCCGGGGCCGGGGCGGGAGCGGGCCGGGGCGCGGGCCCGGGGGACAATTTCTGGGTGGCGACCCTCCCCGGGACACCCCCAGGACCCCCGCAAGGACCCTCCCAGGACCCGCCCGAGGACCCCCCCAAAACCCCCCCGGGATCCCCTCGGGACCGCCCCAGGACCCCCCGCCCCCGGCGCGGGGACGGGGTTTACCTTCGATTTCACTCCGATGGTGTTCAATTTTGCTCAGGACAGCGCGTATGAGGAAGAGGGCCCAGGCAGATGGAAAAGAAGAACGACTCCAACGGAAAAGCCCGACTCGAACGGAAAAGCCCCTCACACACGCCGACAGGGTCGGCGGATTTTTTCACAAACGCGTCCCCCAGAGGTCTCGATCCATTCCCCAGGACCTGCTTCTCCTCTCGAGTTGGTTTTGACGGCCCCGAGGCCTGTCAAAAAAGGGCCCCCTGTGAACAAAAACCCGTCGCGATCTCTTCATGTCCCGAAGGGGCCTGGGAACGGTGCCCCTCAATCGGCGGCGAGCGAGGGGTGGAAATGAGAAGGAGAAGACCCTCTCAGCAGGCGGCGGGGCTTCTCAGGAGCCCCCCAGCCTCCTGAGAGGTTTTCGGTGTCGGGTAGAGAACTTCTCAGAAGGCCTGGGGACCTCCGAGCCTTCTGAGAATGCCCGCCCCTTCTCACCCCAGACATGCGACTTCCTGATTTCTCCCAACCATCCTGTGGTGTTGGGTCCTCGTTTTGAAGAGACAGCGCCCCGCGTCACCTCACCTCACCTCCAGCCCTCCTCCCTCCTCCCTCCTCCCATCCGCCATCGTCATCGTCATCGTCATCGTCATCATCGTCATCATCACCATCGCCATCGTCAGCGCCGCGCCCCTCACGCAGTTTGCGGCACCACAGGGAGCTCCACCGAAGGCCAAAGCGGCAGCGGACCGCCGCCCCATTTTGGCGCATCCCTCACACGGTTCGTGGCCCCATAGGGAGCTCCACCGAAGGCCCCAGCGGGAGCGTCCGCATGGCACCACCGCCCCATTTTGGCACACCCCTGCCTCGGTTCGTGGCCCCAATAGAGCTCCACCGAAGGCCCCAGCGGGGGCGTCCGCATGGCACCGCCGCCCCATTTTGGCACATCCCTCACACGGTTCGTGGCCCCATAGGGAGCTCCGCCGAAAGCCCCAGCGGGAGCGTCCGCATGGCACCGCCGCCCTATTTCGGAAAACCCTTCTCACAGTTCGTGGCCCCAATAGAGCTCCACCGAAGGCCCCAGCGGGAGCGTCCGCATGGCACCGCCGCCCCATTTTGGCACACCCCTGCCTCGGTTCGTGGCCCCAATAGAGCTCCACCGAAGGCCCCAGCGGGGGCGTCCGCATGGCACCGCCGCCCCATTTTTGGCACATCCCTCACACGCTTCGTGGCCCCATAGGGAGCTCCACCGAAGGCCCCAGCGGGAGCGTCCGCATGGCACCGCCGCCCCATTTCGAACCCCTTCTCGCAGTTCGTGGCCCCAATAGAGCCCCACCTAAGCCCCAGCCGGAAGCGTCCGCATGCACCGCGCCCCATTTCGAAAACCCTTCTCACAGTTCGTGCCAAGGTTGGGATGAGAGCTCCGCCGAAGGCCCCAGCGGGAGCGTCCGCATGGCACCGCCGCCCCATTGTGGCACACCCCTCACACGGCTCGTGGTCCCATAAGGAGCTTCCCCGAAGGCCCCAGCGGAGTGTCCGCATGGCACCGCCGCACCATTTTGGCACGCCCCTCACACGGTTTGTGGCCCCATAAAGAGCTCCACCGAAGGCCCCAGCGGGAGCGTCCGCATGGCACCGCCGCCCCATTTCGGAAAACCCTTCTCACTGTTCGTGGCCCCAATAGAGCTCCACCGAAGGCCCCAGCGGGGGCGTCCGCATGGCACCGCCGCCCCATTTTGGCACATCCCTCACACGCTTCGTGGCCCCATAGGGAGCTCCACCGAAGGCCCCAGCGGGAGCGTCCGCATGGCACCGCCGCCCCATTTCGGAAAACCCTTCTCGCAGTTCGTGGCCCCAATAGAGCTCCACCGAAGGCCCCAGCGGGAGCGTCCGCATGGCACCGCCGCCCCATTTTGGCACACCCCTGCCTCGGTTCGTGGCCCCAATAGAGCTCCACCGAAGGCCCCAAGCGGGGGCCGTCCCGCATGGCACCGCCGCCCCATTTTGGCACATCCCTCACACGCTTCGTGCCCCATAGAGGGGTCCACGAAGGCCCCAGCGGAGCGGCCGCATGGCCCGCCGCCACATTCGGAAAACCCTTCTCGCAGTTCGTGGCCCCATAAGGAGCTCCACCGAGGGCTCCAGTGGCTGCGTTCGCATGCCGGCACCGCGCCCATTTCGGGACACCCCTCACACGCTTCTTGGCCCCATAGGGAGCTCCACCGAGGGCCCCAGTGGCTGCGTTCGCATGGCGGCACCGCGCCCATTTCGGCACACCCCTCACACGTTTCGTGGCCCCATAGGGAGCTCCACCGAAGGCCCCACGGCTGCCGTCCGCATGCGTCCCGCACACCCATTTCGGCACACCCCTCACACGTTTCGTGGCCCCACAGGGAGCTCCACCGAAGGCCCCACGGGGCGCGTCCCGCATGGCACCCAGGCGCCCCATTTTTGGCAACACCCCTGCCTCGTTCGTGGCCCCAAGAGAGCTCCACCGAAGGCCCCAGCGGGGGCGTCCGCAATGGCACCGCCGCCCCATGTTTGCACACCCTCACTCACGACGCTTCGTGGCCGCCTAGGGAAGCTCCACCGAAGGCCCCAGCGGGAGCGTCCGCATGGGAACCGCCGCCCCATTTCTGAAAACCCTTCTCGCATTCGGTGGCCCAATAAGCTCTCACCGAATGCCCCAGCGGAGCGTCGCATGGCCAACCCGGCCGCCTCCATTTTCGCACAGGCCCCTGCCTCGTTCGTGGCCCCAATAGAGCTCCACGAAGCCCCCAGCGGGGCTCCGCATGCGGCAGCCGCCCCATTTTGGCACATCCCTCACACGCTTCGTGGCCCCATAGGGAGCTCCACCGAAGGCCCCAGCGGGAGCGTCCGCATGGCACCGCCGCCCCATTTCGGAAAACCCTTCTCACAGTTCGTGGCCCCAATAGAGCTCCACTGAAGGCCCCAGCGGGAGCGTCCGCATGGCACCACCGCCCCATTTTGGCACACCCCTGCCTCGGTTCGTGGCCCCATAGGGAGCTCCACCGAAGGCCCCAGTGGGAGCGTCCGCATGGCACCGTCGCTCCATTTCGGCACACCCCTCACACAGTTCGTGGCCCCATAGGGAGCTCCACCGAAGGCCCCAGTGGGAGCGTCCGCATGGCACCGCCGCTCCATTTCGGCACGCCCCTCACACAGTTCGTGGCCCCATAGGGAGCTCCACCGACGGCCCCAGTGGGAGCGTCCGCATGGCACCGCTACTTCATTTCGGCGCACCCCTCACCCGGTTCGTGGCCCCAGAGGGAGCTCCACCGAAGGCCCCAGCGGGAGCGTCCGCACGGCACGGGCCGCGCACGGGGCTCGGGCGAAACCAAGAAGACTCCCCGTTCGCCCGCGTCAGCATATCTCCCCCTCATGCACGCCGCAGGCAGCAGCACATGGTTGGGTCCTTCGTCAGGCTCATTTCAGGACGGCGTCCCTGGAAGTCCCGACCCTTTCCCCGGGACCCGTTCTTCATCCCGAGTCGTGCTTTGACGGTCCCGAGGCCCGGCGAGGCCCCCCTGGGGCCGAAAACAGCCAGAAACCTCCCACCCTGACTTTTTACGACGCGATCATGTCTGGGACTTCCCCGCCCCGGGCTCACGCCGTCGAATCGAGCGGGGGGCCCGGTCTGCTCCCGGTGGGCGGTCCAGAGCGATCGGGGGGGGGAGCGGCGGCAGCGAGGGCGCGCGCCCGTCTCAAGCACGGAGCAGGGCCGGCCAGCCTGACGAGGACGAGTTATCTTGCAGACGAGGGGAGGGGGGTTGGGGGGAACGACGAGAGAGAGGAGGAGGAGGTGGAGGAGGAGAGGACTCAAGGAATAGGCTGGGGGAGTAGGCTGAGAGGAGGAGGGGGGAGAGGAGAGGAGAGGAGGAGGAGGAGGGGAGGAGGAGGAGGAGGGGGATGAGGAGAGGAGGAGGAAGTGAGGAGGACGGAAGTAGGATGCATTTATTCAAAAACAGGAGGGAGGAGGAGGGGGACGGATGGAGGGGGAGGAGAGTGAGGAGGAGAGGAGGAGGAGAGGAGGAGGAGGAGGAGGAGAAGGAGGAGGAGGAAGAGGAGAAGGACGAGGAGGGAGAGGAGGAGTTGGCGGAGCTCACCCTCCACCGCAGTGTTGGCTCAAGCATTGCTCTCTCACTCCCTGGTGAAGACGACCCTTGGACCTTGCTCAAGTGCCGCGGAGATGGTGGTGGCATCGGCCCTGCTGCTCCTCCTCTGTGCCCCGCGCGCGGAAGCCCAGCCGCTGCCACACCTGCGCATCGCCGGCTCGTCCACGGTGAAGCCCGTGGCGGAGCAGTGGCAGAATGCGTTGCTCCTGAACTACTCGATCACGCTCGAGGGGGGCGGCTCGAGCACGGGGGCGCGGCGCGTGTGTCTGCCACCGAGCGACCCGGAGCACGTGGACATCGGCGACATGTCTCGCGAGTGGAAGACCTCCGAAGCGCAGCTGCTGGACGACGGGTACACGTACGAGTGCCTCGAGAGCGGCAACCGCGTCATCGGAGGAAAAAAGGTACCGATGCCGCTGCTCGTCCTGGAGCTAGCTTCTTCGTCGCCGCGCCCAGGTCCTCCCCGAGATTCTGTCTGGAGCGCCATCCAGGGAGAGGCCCGTGGTATATATATATATATATATATAGAGAGAGAGAGGTTCCTGTATGCTTTTGCTCCCCCAGGTCACGCAGATCATGGTGGCCATCGACGGCCTGGCAGTGGCCGTCAAGAGGGACAGCGCGGCTCACGCGTGCATCGAGGCCATCGGGGGCCTGACGCTCGCACAGCTGCGCTGGGTCTTCTCCGACTGGAGCGATGCCGAGCTGGAGGCGGACGGCGTATCCATCGAGTCGTGCGTGCCCAACATGGACGACGACGCTGTCAAGGAGTGGAGCGACCTGGACGCCAGGTGCGAGGAGACGCCGATCAACCCCTACGGCGCCGGCGACCAGTCTGGCACCCACGACTTCTTCGGGGAGACGGTCCTGGGCGACTTCGGGGGGGCAGAGGGCTTCCCGGACTGCGACGCCGACGATATGCATTATCTTGAAGGTCTCGACGAGGATGCTGCGGACCTCTACATTCAGTCTCAGCGGACTCCGAATTGCGTCATGCCCTCGGAGGATGACCATCTCCTGCTGCAGTGGCTGCTCGCAGACACAGGTGGGCAGGGATGGGGCGGGACGGGGGGGAGGGGGCAGGGGACGGACCGGGACCGCAGGGGGCATCGCATATTTCGGGTACGCTTACTTCGCCCAGTTCACCGACACGGTCGCTGCCATTGCGATCGCGAAGGACACGGAATTGGGGGTGTTAGACACGCTCTTGGCCAAAATTGTACCCGATAGCGAGAGCATCGTCGACGGCTCCTACTCGGCGTTCAAGCGCGATTTGTACATGAACGTGTATAACAACGCATGGAACATCTCTGGGAAGTTCTTAGAGTTCGGCTTCAGCGACGCTGGACAGGAACTCGTCGAGGAAACAGGGTACGTGAAGGTGAACAGGGACCAGCACGCCGATATGAGTGTCCGCATTGGTAAAGGCGTGATGACTGGAGGGAACCTGGAGGCGGACTATGTGCCGGTACCTCCCGACAGCTGCCCTGTTGGGTCGGGCCTGATCTCATGGGAGTTCACCAACGAATTCGGGAACGACAAGATCGGCTACGCATGCGAAAGCTGCGCGGCCGGCACGGTGAAGAACAACGACGAGTCCAGTCCTTGCGATCCTTGCCCTCCCGGCTCCTTCGCTAAAGCGGCCACCACTACCCCCAACAAATGGGCTTCGCTTAAGTCGGGCCTGTCCCCCTACAGGGGGATTTTCGACGAAAAATAAAAAATACTCCAGAAATAATCCAAAAATAGTCCAAAAATAGTCTGGGGATTATTTTTGGGATATTTTTTCAGCCTTTTTGTGGTATGTTTGGGTCATCGTCTATTTTTCTTCGAAAATCCCCCTGTAGGGTGACACGCCCGACATAACGCAAGGCCGAGCACCAAAGGGCTCTTTCGCCCGGCCCAGACACGCTGCGCCCTGATTTTTCGGTGCGGGGCCCCCTGGGAGCTTCGAACCCTCTCGCTGGGACCGATTATCATACAGTCCTGGGGCCGGGTGAGGGCCTGGAGTCCGAAAATCATCCCCCGTCGTGTTTTTTTTTCTCGACGAGCGCATGTCTTGGGGTTGACTCCTGCGCGCAGCCGGCTGCACCTTCCTACCCATGCAGTCAGAGTAGTAGTGCGAGTTGCGCTCTTGACATCAGCGCAGATTGTCAAGGTCGACATATCCTCCCCGCAGCAGGCGCGTCAAACAACTCGCAATACGGAACTGCGCTATCCCCCGATGGCCCCCAGGGGGCCGAAGCTCTGAGGGGCGCCTTGGGAAGCTCGAAAACCGACGCTGGATGTGCCCCTCGTGCGCACTTTCTGCAGAGAGCCTGCTCATGCGATGGTGCCCTTGGCGGCCTCGGCAGGCGCGCAGATGCCGCGGTCGTGCCTGGTCGGCCCCCGCGCCCGCTGCAGGCGACGCCCCCAGAACAAAATCACGGCTGCGAGGAACATCGGACGGGGCTAGGACGAGGACAAGTCAGTTCGGCCGGGGACGGGATGGCCACCCCAGGACGGAAGGGCCTCGCAGCCCTTGCAGCCTCGTGGGTGTCTACTGTAATAGCGCCCCCCTCGGCTGCGCTCAAGTGACCGGGAGTGGCCTGGCAGTTGCACCGATCATCGGCCCGCCCGCGCCTGGGCGGGCCCATCGGGGAGCCATTGTCGGACGGGGCTGGAGGACGATGACAGGCCCGTCTCAGAGCGTTCCGGAAACCGCTCTCAGAGCGTGCCGTCACGCTCTGAGATGATGGGCCGATTTCCCGCTACCACTAAAGGTAGGAGGAGGAGGAGGAGGAGGAGGAGGAGGAGGAGGAGGAGGAGGAGGAGGAGGAGGAGGAGGAGGGGGAGCAGGAGGAGGAGGAGGAGGAGGAGGAGGAGGAGGAGGAGCAGGAGGACCTCCCAACCCTCCCTTCTCCCCCGTCCTACCTGTGGTGGTGGTGGTGGTGGAGAAGTGGCCCATCACGAGACGGCCGCGGCGCCCGCTGCGTCCTCCAGAGCCGCCGGGTCTCAAGGCTTCTCGAGGTGTAGGCTCGCCCCGGATTGAGCCTCGTCCTGGCCTCGTCTTTCAAGCAGTGGCGAAGCGTCCTGGCTCGCTGATAGCCCCACCAAACAATGCTCTAAGAACCTCTTGTGGCTCCCACGAACTGTTCTTAGTACATTTCTGGCTGGGGCTGTCTTGTTTCAACCCATCGGGTGTATGTTCTGTTCTTAGAACATGTTTGGGCTCTAAGAACATCTCGTGGCAGGACTACAGGAATGCCGGGACCGTCGGTCCCTGCTCAAGTCTTGGCCTCGTCCTGGCGCAGGGGTCGCCACCCGAGCTCTCGACCCGGTCCTTGCGGGGAGATGCCTCCAGCGCCGCGCCGCGCCGCCGAGAGGGCCCCGGGAGGGCCCCCAGAGCGGCGCGAGGGGGCAGGCCGTGCCCTCGGTTTCATGGTGTGCCCGAGCCGTAATCTGGAGCGCGGTCTCTTCTCATCTCCGGGTCTCTCCTACGCGGCGTTCATCTCCGGCATCTCCCTCCTCCTCCTCCTCCTCCTCCTCCGTCCTCCTGCCTCCGCTCCTGCCTCCTCCTCCTCCTCCTCCTCCTCCTCCTCCTCCTCCTCCTCCTCCTCCTCCTCCTCCTCCTGGTCCTCCCCCTCTTTTTTTTTACAGCAACCTTCATGCCTCAGAAGGCTCCCGAGACCTCGCCCAGCGACAAGAACAGGCCGTACCCGAAGGAGGACACGTGGAGCATGGAGCGAGACACCTCCGCATTCATGTACTGGTGCTACTCGCTGGCGTTCAGGCCGAATTGCGAAGACCGAGCCCACAGAGACGAGCGACGGCGCGATCTCGGCGGCAGCCACATTCAATACGCACGCATCCGTGCACAACTGTACCAGGAGGCCCGAATCCGAGAAAATAAAATGCCACCACAGACGCACGAAACCATAGGCCTGGTATCCGAATACACCAGAAAGACAGCGATCCAACCAGCACATGATCACTCTGGGTCCACACCGTCGGAGTCGTCGAAGACGAGCAAACGAGGAGGAAGCCCAGGAGCCCAAGAAGGCGGCGGCGCATCTGAAGTGAAAAGGCGGCCCTCTCCAGGATCAGGTGGGAGCCCGAAGGGCACCCACTGTGCGCTGCTCGACCCGCCCTCAGAGGCGACCACAACGGGGGAACGGGACCCCGATGCGGGCTGATATACTGCAGCCTCCTGCTTGACGATCTCGGATACAGCATCAGGAAAAATCTGCTGCTCAGTGGAGGCGCTGTCGTGCACGTCGGAGTGGGACTCGAGGTCCGAGTGCTCGGCGGTCGGGAGAAGAAGAGGCAGACTGCAAAGCCTGGCAGCATCCAGCTCCGCAAGCCTCCAGCCTGCTGCCAGGCCAAGCCCAAAAGCCTGGCCCTTGGTCTCCTCGCCGAGGGAGGGGAGCGCCTCGTCGACCAGGTCGATCGTCTCCCAGACACCCGGCGCCAGCGAGACCACCGGCCCCGCGATCGGCACCTGCCCGTCGAAGGCGCAAGCATCCACCTCGCACACGGAACCCCCAAGCTCCGACAGCGGCGAGCCGAGGCGCGGCCCTTTTTCCGCTCGGCGCCACTCCCGCGGCGGCGCCGCCTCGTCTGGGCAGGAGGCGGCGTGCCACGCCACGTTGCGCCGCTTGCGCTCCTCGGGGGACTCGAAGCGCCCTCGGACACGCGCAAGCAGGGCGGGGCGCGCGATGGCCTCCCTGCGGGCCGCCTCGGCCTCTGCAGCACTCCCTGCGCCTTGCGGCTGGCGAAGGCTGGCGATCGTCTCCAGCGCCTCCGCAAGCTCGCGCTCCAGGCCAAGGATCTGCTTCTGCAGCTTCGCGATGAGGTTGTCTGCAGAAGCTCGTGCACCTGCTGCTCCACGCAGCACTTCCCGCGCCATCATGCCCATAAGCCGAAAACCCCGCTCCCCCAAGTCCCCCCCGCCCGCCAGCGTTGCCCCGATCTGGTTGGGGTCGCAGGGGTCAGCTGGGGACAAGGTCCAAGAGCGGGGGGCCTACGGAAAGGCATGAGCCAAAATGGCTACGGAGGTGGTCTTCCCCCTCCTCCTCCTCCTCCTCCTCCTCCT